AGGAGAAGGTGAACTGCCTGCAGAGGGTTGGCGGGGGCCCGCGAGGCGCCGGCGAGTGCCCGCGGAAGCTATGGCTCGCTAGGATGGCACTGGCATATTTGGTGGGCGCCCGCGGCGCGACGGCGGGCGCCCTCGGTAGTGCGTGGGAGCTGTGGCGGGGGCTGCTGCAAGGCCCCGCGAAAGAGGCCAGAGAGTTTGGGGTTGGCGGGCGCATCGCGGGAGCTCCGTGGGCACCCGCAGAGGCTGCAGCTGCACTTCAATTCTTGATGGCTAGAGTGATGACCCACGTCCCTTATGAAAAACAAAGCCATGTCGCCACAAAAATGGTAATAGAAGCGGCTTGCTCAAAAAGATGATTTCCCGACACGGCGCATGCATTTCAACACAAGTGATGTCAAAACCGCTTCCTTGATCACTCTCGGGAACAAAACCTGAAATCCAAAAAAAATACACAATTGGAGTTAAACTATACATTATACTCCATTCAAGGACTTAACTAGTGCAAGAAGGGGCGCTTAAATATGCAATATTTGGTGCTTATCAGGCTGATTTTGTTGTCTGTTAAGTAATATATATATGTTTCAGATGGGATAAGTGAGGCAGCGAAATGATAAGATAGGAAAAGGAGCAAGTGGCCGAAAGTGGGAGGAGAGAGAGAAATTTGTGATGATGGTAGTGTGTATTGGCGGGACCTATGAAAATATTTTTTGGGCATAAAGCTTTTCACCCTGAATTATTCACGTGGGCTGACTTGTTGTTTGCTAAAGTATATTGATTATGTTGATATTTGTTTGGTAAGCAGTTGGGGGGTTGGGTTAGTGGAATTGCTTGTTTAAATGGGTGTTTTGTGCACTGATGGTTATTGATAGAAAGAGAGCCAAGAAAAATTAAAAAGAAGGCAGGGAGAGCTTTGAGGACATAAAAAGAGGGCCGAGAGTTTTGAGGAGGTACAGAGAGGGCCGAGAGTTTGCAGAGGAGGCCGAGAGCTTAAGGCTTTGATGATCCAGTGAGGACAATTCCTTTTCAGTGCAAGGTTCTCTATACCTTGAATGGCATGGGGTGGTTTTATTTCAATGGTTTTTATTAAATGTTTTAATTAAATGCATATATATTTTTGTTTATATACTCACATGAATACGTATATGTTGTGAAGCTATTTTATTAAACCTCCATAAAATTCTTGTTATGGTTTTGAACTTTTTGTCTCACCACCCTCCAATTTCACGTACCGATGACGAACGGGGATTGCTAGATTCGGGCTTAGGGGGAAGAGTCGGTGTTGCGAGATTTAAATTTTTTTTTTTTGAGACTTTTTTTTTTTTTGTGTATATTTGAGGAAATTGACTTTGTATAAAAAGAGGGTATTTTTTTTTATGATCCTGGTGTATTTTGATGTATTTTGATTTATATAAATTGGGGATTTTATTAGAATTTTCGGGTCATGACAAAATGGTGTCAGAGCATTTTATTAGAAAATTAGGGGCGTGACACTTGAATTGAATGAAAACTTATTTTAAGTGTTATTATGTGTTCTTTCTTAATCTTAAAATTTATTGCATGATAACTTGTTTTGATGTGGGATTAAGATGCATAAATTATTTGGGGATGTCTGAGACTTAGTTAAGACCTTTAGGGACCTTAACAGAGGCGATCGAAATGTCCGAAGGTCGCCGGAGACAAAGAAGACGGAGAGTATCCGGAATGGAGGCGACTGCGTTGGGAATGGAGGCGGCTCCATAAGCAATGAAGGCGGCTTCATGAAGGAAGGAGGCGGCTCCCTCCTAGAGGGAGGCGGCTCTATCCATGGAAATTGGTTTTTGACGTGTTTTTGAGTTCTGTTTTGGTGTTTTGAAGTTCTTGGGTGACTTCGAGGTTTATGGGAGGTTTTAAATGATTATTATTGACATGGTAAAATCCCAGAATGTATAATAAACACTAGTATGCTAAGAACTTAAATAATATGAAATTTTAAAATAAATTGGCATGTTGTTATTGGATATGGATGATTTAATTGCTTACTTTTGTTCTAGCAATTTAAATGGATATTGGGTGATGTTAATTATATTTTGGCAGTATAATATAATCATGTATTATTTTTTATTTTATTATGCTAAGGATTTAAATTAGTATGAAATTCTAATTGAATTTGTATGTTGATAATGGAGGATTTAATTGCTTAAAACTATCCTAGCAATTTAAATGGAGTTTATATGATTTTAATCATGTATTGGCTGTATAATATGATCATATATATATCTGATTTCTATTATGCTTATTACTGGATTTATTTGATGTAATATTATATATGTTGCATCATTTATTAGATTGTATGGTTTAATGCACCAGTATGTGATGGTGACATTCTAGGGACGGATTAACCAAAGAAGGTAAGTCATATCTATTCATGTATAAGGGAATGGATTAACTAAAATGTTTAATCCTACTTATATTCGTGTCAGGTCAACGAACAGTTGGATGACATACCATGGTTTACTTTTATGTTTGGTTAGGACGAATTATATATATATAGATATATGTCGTGATATAAGCTTGAGTCTCAGGATCATGGTTAGGGTGCATATATTGCATAAGATGGATAACTGGATATAGTAGATATTTGTGTGCCCTGGTAGGTCTAGGTACTCATGCCCACTTTAAGTGCGATTTGCATGTTGCACACTATAGCCTTGTGAGCATTCTATAGTGTGTGTCTATATATATATATATATATGGACTACTTAGCTATTGTTGAGTTAACTAGGATATATACGTGTATCGAATTTCTGCTTGGAATGCAGTAGAGTAGAACTTGTTTGTGAGCCTGATCCACCATTATTTTTTAGGTGTTCATCAGGTGTAGAGATGGTTTGTGCTAAGCAGAGACCAGTCTACTTCACTCTTACACTTGTACATAGAGGATTCATTTATAGTTCAGTTTTTAGATGTAGATAGTTATTACTGTTATTTATTTAGTTTTAGATTTTCTAGGGGTCCACACAGGATGGATTCCGGAGTTGTATTACTAGAGGATTAATTGTATCATAAGAATTTATTAATGAAAATATATTCTGAGGATTTTAAATATTGGATTATCATTTAGTTTCCATTTTAGCATTTTATCTATTCCTAGTTATCCTTTTGTATTCTGTGTTCGTTTATTGCCGATTTGTTTTTTATTTCTCTGGGCATTCGGGCGTGGGCTGGACAACCCGCATTCGGAAATTCGGGTGTATCACAATTATGGTGGTGTACGTCTAGGTTATCAGGGTGTTTCAAATTTTTATTTTTATTTTTATTTTTTCTGCTGTGGTGGTGGTTCTGGTAGCATTTGGGTGTGTTGGTGGTGTTGTCTTGGTATGGTGGTGGTTCTGGTAGCGTCTGGGACGTATAAGTATGAGTTGGCTATGGCTGTTTTCATTTTTTTTTTCCCCTTTGTGGTAGTTATGGTGGTGTACAGTTATTTAGCTATTTACAAAATATATATTATTTTTTATGTTTATGTTGTGGTGGTGGTTTCTCGGTGTGGTGGTGGTTATGGCGGTATACGTTTTGTTATATATAAACTATATCTCCATGTATAAAAGAGATGGAGAGTTTAGTTTGGTCCATTAAAATTAGTTATGATGTTAAATTTGTAATTTTATGATTTAAATTGAGTTGTTGACAAGTCAAATGGTTAAAAGGTAATTTTCTATGGTCTTAGAGGTCTGGGGGAGTGTCAATGCACATTTTTGAAATCTCAGGGGATGTCAATGTAAAAAAAGCCATTGACCGTCCGCCAAGTTACGTTAACCAAAATCTCAGGGGGTGTCAGTACAATTTATCCTAATATTTAAGTGATTTATGAACCATTAAATATGTTTATTTCATTGATTAGTTAGACAATTATTATTGTATTAAAATTACATTTAGTAAAATAACACATTTTCACTACATTTATTCTTGTTGTTAAAATTTATTCTCATTATATTTATTTTTAACACAATACCTTTAAATCTATTTCTTATTCTTCAAAACTATGCCATTAAATTTGGTTCTTATTCTTCAACACAACGTCCTTTAAATCTTATTGTCACCGCATTTAATCTTCAACTCAACAGTCAACACCCTTAAATCTTATTTTCAACACATTTAATCTTCAACTCAACACCTTTAAATCTTATTCTCAACACATTTATTCTTGAACTCAACACCCTTAAATCTTATTTTCAACACATTTATTATTCAACTCAACACTCTTAAATCTTATTCTCAACACAGCTTAACATCCTTAAATCTTAGTTTCAGCATATTTAATCTTCAACTCAACACCCATAAATCTTACTCTTGACACATTTATTCTTCAACTCAACACCCTTAAATCTTATTCTCAACACATCTCAACACCCTTAAATTTTATTCCAACACATTTATTCTTTAGCTCAACACCTTTATATCTTATTCTCAACAGATTTATTATTCAATTCAATACGGTTAAATCTTGTTCTCATCATATTTATTTTTTATCTCAACGCTCTTAAATCTTGTTCTCACCACATTTATTTTTTAACTCAATACAATTAAATTTGGTTCTCAACACGTTTATACTTCAACTCAACACTCTTAAATCTTATTCTCACCACATTTTTTTTGAAACTCAATGGCTTTAATTTAAATCTACACTTCAACACACTTATATTTACATGAATTTTCAAATGATGCATGTTAATTTTTTCCTAACAAACTTAATTTGGATTTATCACCCTTATGCGTATTTTTACCACCCTAAAACTCACACTTCAACATACTTAAATTTACTGAAATTTTCAAATGATCCAAATTAAAAAATATATATATATATTCCGACAAACTTCATATTGATTTCCCCATCCATGTACCTACTTTCATCACCCTTAAATCTACACTTCAACACATTTGATTTTTTAGTAAATTTAAGTGTGTGTAGAGAGTAGATATAAAGTTGTTTAGTTCCAGATGATTTTTGTTAACAAAAATTTAACTTGGAACAATTGAAAAGTACTAAATGTGTAGAAATTCATATTAAAGTCATTACATGTAAACCAAGATGCACTTGGCCATCCAAAGAATATAATTACAAGTTTTGAGACTACAATAGTGTCATTAACGACGAGATTACATCAAACACAAAATGAATAGCCATCATGGGATGGTCATCCTCCTACTCGAATCTTATTACAAAACGAGGTCAAAAGATGGCATCCTCAAATCTAAACTTGTGGAGGAATGTGATCAATTATCTCCTTCTCGTGTCTTGAAAATGTTAAATACAGGGGTGAGTGTACCCACTTAGTAGAGAATGCCTAAATAGCACATCATAAAGTAGAGTAAGTAAAACGCATAACAAGTAAAAGAAATGAAGTAAGAAACTAGGATCATGCTAGGGAATGAAAGGTACACACTCCAACTCATTCAAGATGTCATAAGGTTCAACTAATAAAATGGATGAAATGCATGACGAAATCCGCATACTACGCATACAACCCAAACTCCATACACACCCACACCGAAAACGTGGTAACTAGTCAGACTTTGGGTACCTTCCTTCATCCCTAGGGGGAATTTGTTATCGTTCTTGGCAAAGGGTACCTCCCAACTACCTTTTGGGGTCTGAGTCGCTAAATTATTCACAAGTATCTTCCGTGTCCTTATTAACTAATTAACCCCTCCGAATAAAGGAGTACCACCACAATACCGTGTTTTAAAAAAACAAAAAATTCTCCACAAACTTCTCAAATTCAAGTTCCACATTCCCCCACACATCTCTACACACTCACACCATAATGTGCATGGAATGCCAATAAAATAATGCTACAACACATGCTTTTAATCACACATTGACTCAATTCATCATCTCTTGGTTAAGTAAAACATAGTATTGAATATAATTGACAATATTGAGCACACATAAGTATCTTGTCAAACAATTTGCATACTAGGCATAGAGGAACACAATTTCAATGGCATAGTAGTACAATTGATCACATAGTCTCGTAATCTTTCAAATAATTGAATGACAATACACTGATCACAAGGCAATAAAAGAAGAATGAGATTTTTACCTTAAGCCACATATTGACATATATTGTACACATAGGAACTCATACAACATAAATCATGCAACACACATCATACGTCAATCATCTTTCTACATCAAATTAATCATGCTTGCAAGGGAGAGCAAGAAATAACTTACAACCATCAAATGAATCAATCCAAATGAAACCTATTTTTTATTTTTGGGTGTGTATGTAAGGCCTTGGGGGGTATCTTGGTAGGGGGTTTCTTCTTCCTATTGTACAGTTCATTTTTCCCTTTTATACAATGATTACCTTGGTTAAAAAATAAAGAATAAAAGGATTTGTCAAATTATGCATTTCCTTCAAGCCTTGGTATTTGTTTGTTGCTTGCATTTTTTTTCGGAAGGGCTCAATTGATTTTAAATTACAGAAATTAATATTGTCATGGAATTTTGAACTGAAAATCTAAGCTTTGCACGGAATGGTTTGTTATTTGTCACAAAACATTCTGCTTATATCTCTTGAAGAAGATGAAAAATTTACTTTAACTAATTCGCTTACAGTATATATGATATTCTTTATTAGTATATAGGTGTGCTGAACTTTTTTTAGCATCTCAGAGGGAGAAAGAGTAAGCAGTGTTTAAATTGCTCTTGTTCTAGGAATACTGAATGAACAACAAATGAATGAGTTGGTGAAACTTACACAAGTTCAGCATCATGGATTCGGATACTACGACCTGCAACACTCCCTACTCGCTGAAGGCTCTCATTCAATCTTGTTGAAGGCTGAAACACATCCACTTCTTGCAAAGTAGTAATGAACCAAAGATGACGCGGAAGTTTCTCCAATCGAACACAACTTTTGATGAACAAATTGTGTAGGCTCCGCATAGCTGCCCTACCCATTCTCCATTCTTCGATCTCCAAGTCCACCAACTTCAAGAATTGAAGTTTAGGAAACAAATCCTCATTGCAACTGATCCATTCCTTGGTTTCAGAATCAATGGAACCTTTTAAGAGTTTAAGAATCCGAAGATTTGGAAGCTTCGCTAGCGTTCGCATACAATTGGGTTGGAGATGTGTCTCTAATAGGGTCATCTTGGTGAGTGTCAAAGGAAATGCATGTGGATCCGGAAGATCACAAGCGTTCACTATCTTGAGCGACTGCAAATGGCATAAATGGTCTATACTTTCAAGGAACTCCAGTGTAGCCTGCTTATTTGCACTACATATTCGTAACCTTGTTACGTTTGGAAACATGGCCCTGACCATTAGACGCTTCAAGACTCTGTCAGGACGTACACCGGATAGAGTTTGGATGCTGGAGAGAGCCTTATTGTTGATGTTGTCAGATTCAGGAGGACTTGGAAAACTCGGGAACAAACCCAGGTACAGATGTCTCAAGGATTTCATCTTCCAAATCCCATTGGGTATGGTGTGCACACAAGATTCTCTCATATCCAGCGTCTGCAATTTCAGAAGGTTGCAGATGGAGGGTTGAATGCAGGTGAGGTTTGGAGCATTCACTCTCAAGTATTTCAAATGAAATAGCTTCTTGACACCCTTGGGAATTTTATCCACTTTTATGGTACCCAAATTTAACACCCTCAGAGAGTTGAAACCATTATAAAGTGATCTCCAGAGTCTTTTAGAATCAATTTGATCTTGGAGGGCATCATAGCACTGGAGAGACCGGAGTTGTGAATGATTGGGGATCACGTCTAATTCAGTACCCATGAAGGAATCACCTAGGATGCTTAACCTCAGCACTAGTGTCATCTCTCTATGGTTTGGGTTGGAGTTGTTTGTATATACTTGAAAAAAGTTCTTGGCTTCCGCAATACATATGCAGAGCTCGCGCACTAGATTGAGTACACGACATGTTTTCACTCTGCCATCGGTCCTCCTGGTTCTCACCTGGACCAAACTCTGGCCAATGAGCCCCTCCAAGTATTCTTCTCCCAGATCCTCCATCTTTCTGTTGCCTCTCTGCTCTATAAACCCCTCTGCTATCCACAACTGAATCAGTTTCCTTGCAGGGATCTCCATGTCTTCAGGAAAAGTCCCGAAATACAGGAGGCATATTTTGAGGTGCTCCTGTAAATTGTGGTAACTTAGAGCTACATCACTGCTCCGCATACCGTGACTAACCAGATATTTACCGACGTTATCAGCCAGCCTCGACCACTTCTCTTTACTCCTTCCCTTTCTTTGCAAGATGCCCCCTAACAACACGATGGCAAGTGGTAGGCCATCGCATTTCGCTGCAATTTGTTTCCCTATTGTCTCCAATTCCGGAGGACAGCTTTCCCCTTTGAGTGCCGTTTTAGATAAGAGCTCCCACCTCTGACTGTCATCCAGGAAAGGAAGAGAAATGGAACGTCTTGGGCCAGCATGTGAAGCCACTTCCTCCAACCGAGTAGTGAGCAATATTCTACTTCCATTCGAGTCAACCGGGAAGGCCGGTTTTAGCTCGTCCCATACTTCTTTCCTACACAAGTTATCAATAACTATCAGGTACCTTTTGCCCTCAAGGCAACCCGAAACCACCTCTTTTAGGTCTTCTTCATTTCCGTAGTCGGATTCCTCTGTGCCAACCTGATCCAAAATACACCGAAACAACTCTTCTGTTTTATATTCCTTATATTCTTGAGGAACACTAACCCACGCACGACATGGAAAATGATCATGGATGGATTTGTTATTGAATATCATGGTAGCAAATGTTGTCTTACCCAACCCTTCCATTCCAATAATTGAAAAAACTTGTAGTTGCTTTACCAAGTTCCCGGACACTAGTTGCTTTACCAAATCCTCTTCCTCTTTGCTGAAGCCGACAACATCATCACCGGTCATACACGAACTCGGGCAATGCAAACTTCCATATGCGTTATCATCATATGGGTTGTTTTTGTTGCAGATATTTTTCAGCTTCTGCTTAATAATCTCCAATTTTGCTTTGCCATCACCAAGCTTACGCATATTGCCCAAACAGTACAAAAGCCTTCCTAGCTTACTCCTCCTTTTATGTTCAGAATTGAGGACAAAGTCATCGATTGCATCCTCTGCTTCATAAGCTTCAGTGGTTAACTCCTCCAATTCCTTCTCCTTCAGCTTACTGAGGAGGCTACTCAGTTTCTTGAGCTCGGCCCGGAATGGACGGACTTGGTCCCGCATTTGTGGAAGAAACTCTACATTCTTTTCTAGTTGATGGACCAAATCCTCTATGGCCAAGGAAGCAATTCTGTCATCCATTTGTTCTCTCTTTGCAGCCTACCTCAACTATGAAAAATTGCTCTCTACAATTTCAATACTTTGGTTGTGTATACACAGGTATGCTCACACAATCCAGTTATTGGAAGGATAACCTCAATGAATTAATTCAATTAATGAAGATGGACAACCTACCTCTCTCAAAAAAGATATCCTATTTGAAAATTTTGACAATTTATGAGTCACGATTTTCCTAATAAGACATCTAATTTAAGAATGGGATAGGATCATTTTATCCACATTATTCCTTTTTTTCATTTGTTGAGTCCAGTACAGTTCATTATCTGTTATTGGGCCTAGCAGGTAAAGTGGCTGTCCTACGTCATTGCATCCCTCAGATGCAACAATAATGACTACATGAAGGCAAGTTGTTCACTTACACTATAAAATTACGAAAATGTTCTTCCCGACTCCTTTGGCTTGAACGAATCGAGTACTTGTTCCCACTTGACAGTAACATTTCCACTTGGTGGACTCCAACCAATTGTTTCTCAAGTCTACAAAGAACAGCTTGTCATTATTAGGAGACAATTCCATCCAATAAGATTTTAACTTGATTAAAATAAATGTCACTCCATTTTAAAAAATGGGATCTTTTCACTACAATCAAGATTCCAATGGGCACTTTGTTTCCAGAAGTTGGAGAATTTAGAAGGCAATGGAACACTATTTTCATACCTACCCTATTCTGACTAGTATTGAAGAGTGATCATAAAAGGAGAGAGACTAAAATCACAACACTTTTGATGATTGATCAAAACTCTAACAAGTTTCTTAGAGATGTTAGTTGTGCAACTAGATTTGTTGGACCAAGTAAAGAAAGATGTCTGAGTACCAGCCAAGTCATTTATCCTAGGAGACCAGTGAATGGATCTACCTTGTCTTTCATTGCATGATCCAATGTCATTGAAGTCTCCTAAGAGAATCCATGGATCACTAGTTCAGTTGCTGGATAATTGGGAAATATCATGCCACAGGGTTCTTCTTTCTTAAGTAGAATTAGCATCATTTACAGGTTTAACAAAAAAACAGTGACGAGATAATCCTGTAAGGGAGACAAAACAGTGGATGAATTGACAAGGAGCACTAATTCTGCCCTGAGAGGAGAACTGACAATCCTCAATAATAGGCAATTGTGAAATAGCATTCTCCACGTAGGGAGTAACGTGGCCCTAGTCTCTATAATGAGAAAGTTTATAATATCTTCCGATACTTACAAATGGTACCCCCATCAATAGATAATCATTGAAATTCTCATTTTGTCTTGATACATACAAAAGGGGAGGTTTTTAAGAAAAAAAATGACTCTCTTTGGTGGTAGGGGATATCACATACTAAATACCCAGACTTTTTTTTTCTCTGTAAGTGCTACAAATTTACAAAATCAAGGTTACACGTTATAATGAATTTCCTCAAACACCTAAAAATAATAAAAACTGAATTAAATCGACACAAAATTTCTATTGACCTCGAATCATATAATAATTTATCTCTTGGTGGCACTATGGAACTTGAGTCCACATCATATTTAGACCACTTGCTTTGGAAGTTTGGACCTCTTTGATTGTTAGTTTCCGGCATGCTGAACAATTTTGATAATTCAGCCATATATTGATTTGATTGACCACTACCCCGATGGCCCCATGGCAATCATGAATACTTGTCTGGCAAAAGTTTCTCCAACATTAATTACTTTATCATAAAAGTTTTATACATGATCTTTTACCTTATTCACTGAATGACTGTACTAAACATTAATACAGATGCAGTAATGAACAGGTGAAAAGGTAAAAATTTCAGTTCATTACAGATGCAGTTGAGGGAGTTCATGTAACTTTTTTTCTTTTCTGAGATCACCAGTAATCTAAATTAAGTATCCAAATAAATACACAAGACATTCCAGGCTGCAAAAGTAATTGGGGATTTTAATGTCTGAAGGTCAGCAACAAACCTAGCAAAGGTTTCTTGCTAGTTAGGAACTCATTTTCTTTAATTCTCAATTTGAAGGAGTAAATGAGGCTATTGGGAGCATCTATTTCCACTCTCAATCTAGGAAAATAAATCACTTATTATTATTATTATTATTATTAATTTTTTTTTTTTTTCAGGAAAACAATTTTTTTTTATTATTATTATTTGTGGGTCCTAGTAAAGGGGTCTGTAAATAGGGGTTTCCCAATAACACTCGCTGTGAAACCGAAGGCATTGCTAGTCCAATATTCAAGAGGAACATTGAAGAATTTCAACGAAATGGTAATGTGGCTGAAGATGATCTTGTTGAATGAAGATCTAGAAAGAGAGAAATTTTCAAGTTGATGTATGAGTGAGCTAGGCTTTTTGTAAATGTGATGGGTTTGGTTGTCAATTTTTTGAACTGTTCTAAACCGTCATTTCATCTCCATTGGTCTCCGAGCACAAGAGCCTGTTTTCATTTCTTCAGCATTGAGTTTGCTCGTCCAGATTTTTTATCAGTTACAATTATAGTATGTCAACCCATCATGGGCTACCAAAGTCACAATGGATTGAAAGTTGTAAGTAGTAATTTTCAAGTAATAATTTTTCTATTTGGAAATTTTTAACAATATTTTTTTTCAGGTAAAATATTCTTTTATTTTTACTCTATCGGTATTTAGCAAAGGTTTATATCAAGGTTGATGTCAAGTTCATCGAGCGGGACATGTAAAATAACTTGCCGAAAATTTGTGATTAAATTATTTTTATTAAATTTTAATATTTTTTTTTCGTAAATATTTTACCACAATCAAACATTATAAAATAAAAAAATATTTTTTGAAAAATATTGTATGTCCAAACAATTTACGTCCAAACAAACGGATCTAAGTGTAAAAAATACCCATCCCTTTTTAATTTTTAATATATATTTTTTTACAAGCAAGTAGCTATGAGTCTAAGAATCTCCCTCAATTGAATGCAAAACAACTGAAATCTCAATAAATTTTAGCTTGCTTTACTGAGTTCAGTTATCTGTTTCTTACTATTTTAATTATTTTGGAAAAAGAATGAGATCAAGCCATATCCTGGGTCTATCGTAGACAATGTAGTTTAGTGAAAAATTATTCGAGAAAGAGAAAAATAATTCCGCACGTATTATTTTTGGAGGTGGAAAAGAAATTTCAATGTTTTGTGCTGTTTTAGTTTGACTTTGGTCCCAGAGGAACATAAAATTACTTTGATTATACCGGTAAGACCGAATAAGTAATGTAGGGAAAGAAAAATAACAACTACTCTTGCCTCCCCTAAATCCCTCTCTGAGTATATATGTTTCAAAGAAAAAGAACAACTACACAATATTCATACATTCTCTACAAGAACCATAAAAAACATTTAATGTGTGACCCTGTGTGTGTGAGGGAGGGGGAGACCAATTTAGCAAAAGTTCTTCGCGCGCCAGAGAGTATCATTTAGAAGAAGTTATTGGACGTAAAATATTTAAGAAGAAAAAAAAAATTAAAATTTAACAAAAATAAGTTATTTTAGATGCTCTATCTGATGGAATCGATCTCAACCTCGACGTAAACCTTTACCAAATACCGACAAAATAAAAATAAAAAAATATTTTACCCAAAAAGAAAAAATATTTTCCAAAAACAATATTTTACGTCCAAATAAACAGAGCGTACATGTCCGCAGAACAGCACTATGACAATTCTAATATTGTAACCGAATGGGGCTAGAAAGGAAACACAATGGTATAGTAGCAACATTCAAAATGGCAAAAAACAAAAATGAGGGTTCTACATGAATTTTTCTGTTAACAAAGTTAATTCTATTTAATTTCTATAAAGCCATACTAACTGATTTATTGACAGATTCAGAACTCTAGACACCAATCTTAATTCAACCTAAGCAAAGAACTGGGCACCACCCAATTTCTCTTTTTGATATTTTTGGAACTTCTTTACTTTGCAATTTCCACCTCTCGGTTTGTCTTTTAGCCTTCTTTCCTTCTGCATAACATCCTAATTAAGAAAAAAAAAACACACACACACACACAAGAAGTTTAAGAAAACAGACCTTTGTCTTTATTATCCATCAGAAGGTAGAAAATATAAAGGGTTTTGCAGTTCAACATGAGTTTGGGGGTACCAAACTCAAAAGATTAATTGTGGAGTGATCCATGCCTCATAATTTCCAGATCCCCCGATGGGACTTTGCTCAACAAGAAATTCCCAAAAAGTGTGCATTGATTCCTCAATGGTTGCAATGATTGCAACTATCATTGCAATTGAAATCGCTTATTTCCTCTACTCTACTTTGCCTCTTATCCTTCAAATAATCACCTGCTGTACAATTGAGCTAAATTCAATTTTTTTCGCAGTTTGCCTAAGTGAGTTTGTGTAACGGAAGATATTGTGAAAAGTTTAAGTTTTTATCGAGAGAGAATTTAATGAATGTCTTTATTATTTAATTTTCCTTACTTAATTTAGCAAATAATAAAATAATCATATGCAAAATAAAAACAAGTAAATAGAGTCTGAGATATGACACACGAATATTTAGTGAGGAAACTCCAATTGATAGAATAGGCCAATTGTTGTGTAAAAAAACCTCGTGGACTGTACAATCCAGACATTCACTATGTTTGAAACCAAGTACAATAGATTTTGACTCAGGCTCACACCCTATTGTTCTACCAAAAACTAATTGCTGACAATCCTCTGCCTTTGCGACGTCCCGTCCAACAGCTTTTTACTATATGCTTACTCTTGATCTCTGTAGAATGATTGTTGATAGATCATACAACACTTCTCAAATGCTTTGACCCTTCCGAAGTATAATCGCTTCACCCATTTTCTTCAAGATCTGAATTTGATGTAGAAGAAATAGATCAGTTTCTCGGATCGTTGTCGATGCAATATTCAATAAACTTTGAACATGATCCGGAATTGAACAACACCATAAAATCTCTCTTGTGTTTATGTGTGTGTTCACGAAATAAAAACAAAAAAATCAAATTTCATTTTCTACAAAATAACTCTCAAATAGGCTTTTAAAGAATCAGAAGGTTTAATGCAAAAGTCATATCAACCTAGATATAAAACAAGGTTTATATAGACTTTCAAAGACCTAGATATGCATAAGAAATAAGTAAATTTCGTGCATAGGTCTTTTGGAAAGAAATTCATACCAAATAGAAAGTTTAGACATAACAGGAAACAAGTTACCAAACTTGCAGAAGCCTAATGAACCGGTAGCCACTTTTGGAACTGGTTTAGAGTGTTTAGAGTTAACAAGGAT